GTGAGGATAGTGAAACAACACAAAGAGCTCTAGGTGTTAGAAACAGGGACAGGAAAGAAAATGAGACTTACTTTGGAAAAATGCAGCTACTACAGCTGGCAACATTTATCCAAACCCTAGAAATTCAGAGGGGGAGAAACCGGGAGGCAATGATAGTGAGGAGTGAGGGTAGGAATCTGCAATATGAAAGGGCAGCAAGAGAAACAAAAAAGCCAATATGATCCCAGGTTTCACAAGCAAAGGCCTCAGGTCACAGGACAGGAAGAGGACTGTCCCTCTAAACACAGCCGTGGAAGACTCCAGCTGGAAGATTATTTGCAATTCTGGGCATCTTGTTACGAGAGAGATATTGGCAAAACTGGAGGAATTTTCAGGGAAGAACCAAAAAATGAGCAGGGGCTGGAGGGAAAGATTCAGTAAAGAAAGATTAAAAGAGCTAAATATATTTGATTTGGCTAAATGACAATGGGGGGGGGGGGGAGACTGACATATCTACAAATAGCGGCCATGCATAAACATTATAGGTGGAGAGGGCTGATTTAGGATACAATCCAAGGGGACATGATTATGAAGAATCGTATCAAGCTGAACAACAGAAAATTTAATTTGAAGCTCAGGAGAATCTTCCTGATGGTGACACCTCAAGCAGGAGCCCCACCACTCACTGGGAGGCAGATGGATCCCGCTGGAGAACTGTCTCCCAGGAGAGGGGATGGGAGCCCCATCACTGGGATGTTTAAAACTGGACTAGGGAAGACCCTAGAAAACATGCAATGGAGAAAAGTCCTTCCTGGGACTTTTCCATCTATTCCAAAAATGAAATGACTCCCCTCTTCCTCATTATGGCCAATTTCCCACCCTCTGGAAAAGACTGAGGAAACTCCACAGGTGTTGATCAACAAGTCTTGATTTTTAATAAGGATATCAAAGTTTATATGTGTGTAAAACGAACAATCTGCTGCAGCAGGGCTGGGCAGCAAAGCTAGGGATTCAGAATGGTGTCAAGGAAAGTGTGTGATCCCAGTGACCCTCTGGCCTAAGCATATGCCCCAGAGCCCTGTGGGGCACACACCCGGCAGCCCCTAGGCTCTGGCACATGCCCCTCAGCACTAGCACACGCCAGCTGCCCCAGCAAAATTCTGGGTCTGGGGTGCGAGCTGGTGCTCAGTGCGGAGAACAAGGCATAAGAAACACTGGCTAGCGTCAGCATTACAGATCAGTGTTTTCAGAATGGGAGTGAAGGGCTCATGGCCCAAGCAGCAAATCCCAAGCAGTCAGAATCTGCCATCCTGCACTGTTCCCACCGCCATGTCATCTGCCCCAAACAAGAGACTCCAGCAACTCAGCTTGTTCTACTAGGTTTTAACGATAGGCCAAGGGAAGCATTTGCAGCCAGTGGCTGCATGGGGAGGTTGTTGGGCTTGGGAGCGGGGAGTGAGTGGGGTTGTTTTAAGTCGGTAGCTAGAGGACAGGATGGTGCTGGAGGGCTGGGCACCTACCCAGTCTTTAGCCCTGCATGAGTCTCAGCCCTACTGCTGTGAAGTTTCAAGCCTGACCTTTGTGTGAAGGGGAGAAGGTGAAATTTATCAGGCCCGGAGGGAGCAGAGTCTGATTGCATTGCGGGCCCCTGCTGCAGTCTGGAAAGTTATAAAGTCCAACTCAGGAAGCCTGCCTGGAAAGGGGCTGCTCAGAATTGGAGCCAGGAGTCACAGACCTAGGGAGGCCTTGCACACACTGGGCTAAATTCAGCCCAGGTTCTCTTCTGACTCCCATGCAAGGGCTGGGGAAACACCCTACAGGTGTAATGAGACTTGAGGAGCTCAGTCTGTTTAATTTATCCAAAAGAAGAGCAAGAGCCAAGAGGTGACGTGATTACAGTGTAGATGTAATTGCACAAGGAGAAAATACTGGGGACTAACAAGCTCTTTCACCTCGAGGAGAGAGGCAGAACAAGAACCAATGGCTGGATGCTGAAGCCCGTCAGTTAGAAATGAGGCACCAGTTTTTAAAAGGGTGATTAACCATTGGAACAAACTACACAGGAAGGGGTGGGTTCTTCATCTCTTGGAGTCTTCAGATCCAGACTGGAGGCCTTTCTGTAAGATACGATTTAAACAGGCTCCAATTCCTGAGCTCGATGCAGGGCTAACTAGTAAACCTCTTTGGCCTGTGCTATATGGGAAGTCTGGTCTTAAAGCCTATGACTCTGGTTTTGGGCAGCTTTCCCTACGCAGAAAGTCCTTGAGGGTCAGAGCAGGGGGAAATGGCCAGTACAGAGAGACCTCAGGCCAGCTCCAGTCCACGGCATAGACAGTGCTGGCCTGGAAAGAAGGAGGCTGGTGGGATGTATAGATTCAGCGCATTCTCTATAGAGCCTTGGCCTGCAGGGCTCCTATGGGGATGCCAGATGAAAATTGCCCTTCTCAGTAGTGGCCACCTCAAGTCTTCAAATATCCTAGATCTGGCTCCCATGAATCATGAGATGAGCTTAACAAATTGTAAGATTAAAAAAAAACCACCCCACACATTTAGGGTTCTTTTTCTTTGCCTTCTGAGCCTTTAGGGTTCATTCAGGCAACGTTTTCAAGTTTCTCCACAACCATCAGGGTTAGAAACTTGCTTTTTTGAAAGAAAAGAAAAGAAATCTGAGATTCTCACCTAATCACAATTCCAGGAGCTGGGTTTTAAGAAAAAACACCAAATAGCTTGAGACTCGCAATTAAATCATGAGAACTGGCAACACTGCTTCTCCAACAGAGACCCCAAGACATCTGTCTGATCTCCCTTGGCATGATCCCCTACTAGGACAGAAGGGGCCAGTCTGAAATGGGGCATTAATTTACCCCTCTCCCCACACCAGCTTCAATTAATCTGGCTCGTCAACTCAGAATTTCCTGACATTTGGCAATTCCAACTCCCCAGCCATAGGGCAAAACTCACTTACAGCCATCACTTACCAGAACTCAGGGCTGCCCACTCAGTGACTGCTGACCTGAGAAGAGGGAGAGAACTAGACTGCAGGCTGGGGCAGACTCTCCATCCCGTTCTGACAGCAAGAAGGGGCTGTTAGCCCAGTGGAAATGGCTCCCTCAGGGAACACTCTGCAGAAAGAGGTTCCCTAGACAATGCAGAGTTGGTGGAAGGAAATGGGATGTGTCAGAGTCACTATTCTCAGCTGGAGCAGCCCTGATCACATACTTCATTTACAGGGCAAGCGATTCCCTTGTATTCCCCCATTCCAGCGCTGAGTGCAGTTTGAGCAGAATGAAGTCTCTGGCCCTGGGATCATTCTAGGGTCTCAGTGTATTTGCAGATGACAGAACAATACGTAGAGTGGCAAATAATGAAGATGCCAGGTCAGTTATACAGACCAACTGGATTAGCTGGTAAACTGGGCCTTTTGATATGGCCAGTGTGACAGACCCAGACCAGTGGGGTACAGGAGTCTGGTAGAGGGCAAATATACTGGTCACTGGATGAGTAGTTTTCTGTTCCCTAAGTGACCAATTGACCTGGACTGTGGGTTCTTCCAGAGGGGAAGGTCTCTGGGCTGTTCCCCAACCCACATGGTGAATCTCTGAGGCAAGAAAATCCGCCAATAAGCTCAGGACCCACCAAGATAGAGGAGGAACTTTGTCACACCAGATGCAAGGTTATATCTAGATTAAAGGGCAAGGGGAGAGGGCTGCAGAGCCCGGCCTCCAGCCTGAGTCAGAGTGGCTACATGGCTATTTTTAGCCCCACAGTGTACAAGTCCCACGAGCCTGAGTCAGTCGACCTGGGCTCTGAGACTCACTGCCACCGAGGTCTTTTTTGCTGTGTAAACATACCCTTGGTGGTCTTGGTAGATAAACCAAACGTGGGTGCCCAACGTGATGCTGTAGCTAAGAGGGTGAATGTAATCCTTAGATTTATAAAGAGGGTAATATCAAGCAGGAGTAGGGGTGAGGTCTTACCTCTGTATACAGCATGTCAATGCTTCAAAAAAAGGATGTTCAGATATTGGAAAGTATTCAATAAAGAGCTACAAAAACGCCTTGAGGTCTAGAAAAACTGCCTTAGAGTGAGAGTCTAGAGCAGCTCTATTTAGTTTATCCAAGAGAAGGTTCAGAGGTGAGTTTATGATGGTCTACAAGTACCTACAAGGGGGAAGAGATTTCTGACAGTAAATGGGTCTTTAATGAGGCATAATGAGATCAGTGGATGAAAGCTGAAGCTAGACAAATTCATACTAGAAATAAGGTGCAGATTTTGCACAGTGAGGGTAACTGACCATTAGTACAACGTACCTACGGTTGTGGTGGGTTCTCCATCACTTAACATTAATGCAAGACTGGATACCTTTCTAAAAAAATATGCTCTAGCTCAAACAGAAGTTATGGGTTTGATACTGAAATTACTGGGTGAGGTTCTCAGGCCTGTGTTATGCAGGAGGCCAGACTAGATGATTTTAGTGGACCATTCTGGCCTTAAACTCCATACATCTCTGTCTGCTGAAAGGAGGTTGTGCCGATGAGGATAAAGCTTCCTCCATCTGATTCCCCTCCACAGCTCTGCTTGGGGACTAAGTAGATACCTTTATTTGCCAACCCTTTACCCCACAGCCCTGGCTTTGGGGAATCTCCTTTCCTTTTTGCCTCCAAAGCAGGGGGATCACTATCAGGGGAGGAGATTTGCAACTGGCTCCTTTTGATGTATGAAGACGCCTCACAGTGTTTTCTGCTTGTTATCGAAGTTGAGTCCCAGCTTCCACTCCAGTTCTTTAGCAAAAAGTGGGAAGAGTGACATCACAGGAGGCTGAAATCTGATCAGTTGCTATCCTATACTAAAGGCTAGAAAATGGGCTGGTGTGGACATTTGGGAGGAGCCGTGGGGGGTGGTGGTTGAGGTTGAGATGTTAAGTCTAAGCAGGGGGAAAGGAAAGAATGTTCAGATTGTGACTAATTTTCATGCACGTCGCAAACACAAACATGAATCAATTAATCAATATTTGCATGTTTCAGTTTACACTGGTGCCAGGTATCTTTTAAAGGAACATGATCTACTAAACACCCTTCCCTGGGGCCTAGGTTTCTGTGTGATTAGCATTGCCAGAGAGATGGTCCCACTGCAAGCGCTGGAATCTTGTAGGTGTGCTGTAGGATCCAGTCTCCAGGGAACCCCGCCTGCAGGCACACTATAAATCCAAGCTGTTTGCAAATGATCCTTGTCCAATGTGAGTTATTCCTGGAGAGATCAGCGGTGTCTGGCTAAGAATGTGTGTGACCAGATAGACAGGTCCCTTACATCAGACTCAATCTGGACAGGGGCCTGCTATGGGCCAGTGATAAGTTCTGGGAGGTGGTGAGAGAAGAGGTTTCCTTTCATATATACAGCAATCTTCTGTGGAAGGAACATTTTGCCTCCTAGTATTTCAGGTCCATTGCCAAGGCTGCTGGCCTCCTCCAGACCCAACATCTTCTGTTCCTTTGCCCCTCACATCCGCTTGTCCCATATTGGTGTCCGGCTGTGTGGCCAGCCAAGCAGTGGGCAGTTGGGATCCAGAAGGTTTTACATGGTAGGCAGAGCTAGGACACAGCATGCTCCTGAGGAGCTGAAGGTGGCCAAGGGTAGCAAGCTTGCTTTGCGCTGGTGCGGATGCCCTGCTCAGACAAGCTCTGAGGGGCTGTGGGGACCGTCTCCAGGGAAAGGAAATAGATCTCTGCACAGTGCAATGGCTTCCTGCATAACCCTGAGATTAGCCCCACAGCCAGCTTGGCGCTTCCAAGTCACAGCAATTCCCTCAGGGATTACTGCTGCCTCTGTCTAAACAAGACCGAAAAGAACAAGCAGCAAAAAGAGCCAAAAAGCTGCTGCTTTGTGACCAATTCAAGAAGGGATCCCAGCAAGATACATCTCCACAGAGAAGAGGAGCCTGTGCATCCGTCAGTGCAGGCGTGAGCCAGAGGAGAAGATTGAATGCCCTTGTACAGGCAGTAGCTTCAGTGAAAGGCAGGAGGGACTCTGCTGGGTAAGGCTGGCTCTGCAGGTGACCTCAGAACTCTGTGCGACAGCTGGTGTGGCAGGGGCCCATTACAGCCTCTACTGCGGGATTTGCCACTCTCTAAATGAGTCCCTTCTGCAGGCACTTTGGTTTGTGGAAGGCAAGCCAGCTAAGCAGGAGCACAGCCACCAACACGAGAGAGCAGAACACCATGAGCCCCACATAACTGGCATGGGAGAGAGGGCGTGTCGGGGGCTTCTCTGCAGGGATCATGTTTGTCAGGTTCAGCATGTAGCCCAGAGTCCAGCCTGCATCACTGCTGCCAATCTGGAAAAGAGGACAAGACCTGAATTACCTACCAGGACTAAGGAACATACAGGGAGTGGGCTGGTATGGACAAGAAGGTCAGGTCTCTTCTGGGGGCAGTGGTATGGGGCAAGGTGTGGGTGGGTGGGGGTGGGGGCAGGTGGTGTCACAAGTGTTATAGCCCCACAGAGATGGGGTGGTATATAGGGTGTGGGTATCACAGGCATAGCCCTCCCTATCTAGAAACTCTCTGCACATGTGAAGTTACCTTTCCAAGGAACTGGATGTTTTGCCATTTCTCCATGGTGAATCCATAGCCATTCTCCAGGAGGGAGAGGATGTAGGTCCCGGAGAAACAATATTCACTCAGGTACTTCTCTTTTATCTTGGGAAATTCTGCCTTTACCTGCAGCAGGACAAAGACTTTACTTGCCTGCTGCTCCACATGGTTACCACAGGCCTGGCTTGCACCAGAGACCTCTCTCCAGGTGCTGGCAGCATCTGCCCACTCCATCATTAGCATTAATCTAGATTCTAGTAGCACCAGATGCTCCAGAAGTTCTCCCCTAGCACTGAATGGATGGTGGGAAGTATTTATGTATGTGTGGGCCCCTCCTAACAGCCTCTCACCAGCAGAGATGTCACTTAGCCAAAAGCAGAGCAGGAAAGGACTCCTACAGACACCACAGCAAGCAGCGCCAGAGAGCAGGAGAAGGTACGTGTGCTGTAAATCGGCATAGGGAGGATTCCGCACAATGGCAAGTCTAGAGGTTCCCTAGAAACGGGGTTTGTGAGGGGGAAGTACACCTGCTGCCTGGCTCCCACACACAGCCATTGCCACCAGGGCTGATCCCTGACTCCTGGTGCTATTGCAGAGCAAGAGCCTCACGCTGCTACAGCCGGTCACTCTCTTACCTCGTGCCAAGGTCTGGAGCAGAAGCTTTCCACAGTGCTGGTCGCTTTGTCTAGAGGGACTGGGCTCTTCTCTGTCGTCAGGTTTAAAAAGTTCATCACAAAGTAGAAAGCAGAAAATGCCTGAAGGGGAGAAAATTTTAAACCTGCTTAGCCTTAGTGTGGAAAGCAGAGTCCAAATCCGAGCAGTGACGCCAGAGCATGGGGCTCCCTCTGTGACTCCAAAGCATTTGCGTAAACAGAAATCCCAGCATGCGGGTGTGTTCCAGCTTGCATAGAGCTCCATGAACATGCCATAGGCTGCACATCTGGGTGTCTGGGGAGAGGGTTTTGCAGCTGGCTGGGTCAGGATGATAGGCGCCAAGTATTCACACTCTGGTGGGGGTGGAGCAAAGGAGAGCGACTCAACCGTCACTGCCTCTTATCATAGGTGGGGTTGGTAGCACTGCCTATTGTTACGTTTGCATGACACTTCCCATTAAGAGCCTCTTTTCAGTTGCTTATAACTTTGCCAAACTTGAAAGTTCCCACACTGGATGTCTACCTCCAGCTAGTGTGTTGTGGGGGAAGTTGTTTGTTTTGTTTTTTGAAGTTTCAGGCAAAATGTTTCAGCTGTTTCTAAGAATAAGTTTCAGGGAAAATACAGTGTTTTTCGGATGTTAAAAAATTCTGGTAACTGTTTCCTTGAGAAGCAATAGCACCCACATGCTTTCAAGCAGGGACTTGAAATCTGTCAGGGGAGTTGTCTTGGTGTCAGCAATGTGCCTTTTGTTCCCATGAAAAGCTGCCCAAATTTGGCCAAGTTATAAGCCTTTGAAAAAATCTGTTTGAATACATTCAGGAAAGACTTCCTAAAAAAGCTTAGCAGCTAAAATTTCCAAAGATTCTGTGCACACTGAGCATGCTTCCTCCCCTCACAGTTCCTCCATGTGTCGGACTGTGCATGCATCATCCCCCACAGAACAACTGAGTATGTTCAAATCAGGGCTGCAAGGGTGAAGCCAGACTTTTCCTGCAATTACAGCTCCTGTCTGCTGTGGGCCAGCCCAAGGTGGGCACCGGAACTGAGAGCAAGGAGCCTCTCTCTCCTCTGCTCTCAATTACTCTCCTAACGGTGCCCAGGCAGCATGGAGGAGGAAAGCACATGATTCAAAAGCAGAGAAGACAAGAGCCAGACTTGTGGGAGGGGAAAGGCATAGATTGTGACAAGGAGCCTGGGGAGCTGGGACTGGAGAGGGGAAAGAGAGAGAAACTGGGAATGGGAGCTGGGGAGAGACGGGGACTGGGAACCAGGGGAGGGAGGGAGACTAGGACAGAGAGCAGGGGAGTGGACAATGCGACTGCCTGGGCAAGGAAACTGGTAGTGAGAACTGTGCAGGAGGGTGTGGAGGCCGGGACTGGTCGGGCAAAACAACTGAGACTGGGAGACTGCATGGGGTGGTGGGAAAGATAGATCAGACGAGAAGCTGGGGCGTGGGGACTGGGATTGGCTGGGCAAAGAGACAGGGACTGATGGTGGAGGGGGGAGACTGGGACTCTGGAGGGCAAGAAGAGTGGGATGGGGATGAGATGTCTGAGGAGTGGAGACTGGACTGAGTAGTTAAAGAGAATAGGAATGGGATGAAGATCTGGGGGTGGGAAAGAGAGAGAACTGGGGCAGGTTAGAAGGGACATGGCAGAAGGGGTCTATGTCCCATGCACAACACGGCTCAGATTGGTTAGTGATCAAGGCAGCTAAGAGTGCATTGGCCCTGGCAGAGGTCCAGGCTGGCCTCCTGTCACCAGGTCTTGTGGCATTATTTTGCTGTGTAGATCATCTCAGAGTTCACTGCCCCGCAAGCTACCAGTGCCACTCTGCGTATCTGACCTCCAGGCACTTTCTCTCTCCAGAATGCACTGACACAAACACAGGCAGTGTGGGAGGTGGGGGCAACACAAACTTGCGTGACATATGGCTGTGATGTACAAAAGTCTGCTGTGTGGACACAACTCAAACCAGATTTGTTATAACTAGGTCAGATGAGTTCTCTTGTGGCATTTACAGGCTCAGTCCACACTATAAACAGCCCCCTGCCCCCCAAGTGCCTCACAGTCTTCCCTCCAGCCCCCCGGGAACATACCCTACGCAGACCCTCTGTGTCTGCTCTGGGTTAGAGCACGCCGCCGGGCATCCAGACTCACCCCAAACTCCCCTTGTAACGGAGGCAGGAAAATCCCATTGAAGGAGCAGCTGGAGTAAGGGCAAGAGCTAGTGTTGAAGATCTTCTGGATGGTCATTCGGCACCTTTGGTAATCCCCGTTCCCCTGGAGGTGAAGCTGTGTGAATGGAAGCTGCTGCTCACCATTAGCTATACAGGGGTTGGTGTAGAGGTCACTTATATTCATAATCCTCAAATATCCTGGGTGAAAGCAGGGATCCAGGAGGCTGCCATTCTGTGTGCTCTGCAGGTAAAACAACCCAGGCCATTGGCACTCAGTTCCAGAAAATGGGACCATGAAAACAGCAACAGGATGTACTGACCTAAGAAAGCTGTCCTGGAACTGGGGACAGATATAACATGCCAGGATTCTCACACCAACCACAAACTCATCCTCTGTGCTCAGGAGTCCTGCTTTCTGTGTCGTGCTCAGTCACAGGCTTCCCGTGTGGCTGCAGGCAAGTCATTTGCAGCCACATTTCCAAAGTTAGGCACTCAAAGTGAGTGGGAATTTGAGATACTTTGGGCCTGATTTCCAGAGGTGCTGAGCACCCACAGCTCCTGCTACCTTCAGTCAGAGCTGTGGGTGCTCAACACCCCCAATACTAGACCCCTGATATCTCCAAGCTGGGTACCCAAGAACAGAAGCACACCAAATTGGTGGCCACGTTTGAAACCTCTGGCCTTTGTTCCTGGCTGTAAGTCAGGGATAATGAGACTTCCCCACTGAAATCCACTGTTGTGAGGCTCAGGTTCCAGCCTCACCCGGCTGCACCACAGTGGTGTGTGCAAATAGCAAATGCCGAAGGTGGGGAGGGTCCAGAAACTCTCAGCCCCACAGGTACCGGCCCTGGAGCTCTCACACTTGCCTGTAGGTCACTGGCCAGCTTCAGGCGCAGAGCCTGGTCCTTCCCGTAGCAAAGGAAGCTGTGCGTATACACGTTGTAGTTCTTGCCATAGAGACGAAAGTGCAGTGAGTTCTCTTGAGATTCAATTGGCTCTTGGTCCGGTACAAAGGTGATCTGAGTGGAGGCTCCGCCAAGGTCCAGGGCCCCTGATGTCCCCCGGCTGGATCTCAGGTGAGGCAGAAAGTTCAGCCAGCCAGGCTTAAAAAAAGAACAGGGACAATGAGACAAGGCTACCGGCCTAGGGGTGAGAGAAACAGGAATAAGGTTGGGAGGAGAGAGAAGGTAGCACAGGGCAGAAGGGAGGCATGGGGGCCTGGAGCAGGGCACAGGGTGTGAGGAGAACAGGGTAGAGGGGCAAAATGAGGGTTCAGAAGAGAGAGGAGATGATGTACAGCAGGTGTCCAGGGGAGGGTTAGAACACGCAATCTGCAGCTGAATGATCCCTATGAGAGAGAGTAAAAAAATATGACACACCTCTCTCTAGTGCCGTGTATGCCACAGAACCCCAAACACTTTACCAACACTACAGAGGAATCATTCTGCCAGCCACTGAAATGCTCCCACTCTGGGGTGGAACACAATAACTGTTTAAAAGAACACATCAATGATTTAGGACAGGAAATTAAGGAGGATACCTTGTGTAACTGAAACTGCAGGAGGAATTCCAGAAGGTTTCTGTTTCAATGCACTAACAAATTGTGCGTGCACCAATTGTGCGGAGCCCATCATGACACCACCTCGCATATGAGAGCTGATGCATTTAGTTTCCTAACGAGCCCTTGGAAGCTGGATTGCTGAAGAATTGTGTGGGGTCACTTTCTGACCCCTGGTAAAAGGGGTTGTAAAAGAAGCCAGTGCTGGCAGAAGCCCTCTTGCCAAGTATGGTTTACAAAGTCCCACCTGCCCACATTTCTGGAGTACTACACCTGCCCTGGCTATTGGATATGTTACCTGCTTGAAGTTGCCCAACAGGTAATTAATGGTGATCCAGCCATAGGCTCCTTCTTCCTGACCACTGATGACTCTGGCACCCTGGAAGTTGAAGGGGGATGAGCGCAGCGTCTTCTCCACTGCAGAGAGGACTCTGTCAGCTATACTTCTGTTCTGCAAGCTGGATGTATAGAGGAAAGGACTGAGTGACTCCAGTCTAGAAGCTCTCAGCAGCCTGTTGGTTTTACTCTACCCCCCAGGACACACTTGAGATACTTTTGGTAAGACAGAAGTGCAAGCTGGATCTAACACACTAGATGTTCTCAGTGACATCATTCCTTACTGTCTCACCATCCCAGCTTGTCCGCCGCTGTTTCTGATGCTCACTCAGTTGCCACCGACAGCAGCAGTCACTTCCTGAAGCAGGGCAGGAATCCCCACAGGCACCCCCCACTGAGCACACCCCTTAGAGGACATCACTAAGGCTAACATTTAGTCACGGGTATTTCTGGATAGGTCATGGGCAATAAATAAAAATCCACAGCCTGTGACCTGTCCATGACTTTTACCAAAAATACCCCTGACTAAATCTCTACTTCTGGGCCCCACAGCTCCGGGGGGCCCCTGACGGGGGGGGCCTGCTCCAGTGCTGGGGGTTGACTGTCCCCTGGTTGCTGCTCCTGGGGACTGCTCTCTGGATGGCTCCCAGGCACCCCGAGCCACTGCTCCAGCTGACCCGGGACCACTGCTGCTCGGGCAGTCCCCAGGGCACCCCGAGGACCGGTACTTAGAAGGTCCCCAGAGCCAGCCACACCAGCCGCTGTTCCAGCGGTCCTTGGAGCCAGCTGCCCAGAGCCTCCTGAGCAGTGGCTGGTGTGGCTGGCCTTGGTGCAACCCCTGGGACCGCTACTTGGGCGGAACCCAGGACCAGCCGCTGCTTGCATGGTCCCCAGAGCCAGCTGCCCGGGGCCTCCCGAGCAGTGGCTGGTGCGGCTGGCCCCAGGTACCGCCGGAGCAGCTGGCCCCGCGTTGCTCCAGCAGCGGCTAATGAGGCTGGCCGTGGGGCACCCGAGCAGCTGGCCCTGGGGTGCTCAGGTGGCCCTGAGGTGCTCAGGTGGCCCTGAAGTCAGCAGCACCAGCTGCAGTGGAAGTCACGGAGGTCGCGGAAAAAGTCACGGAATCCGTGACTTCCACGACCTCCATGAAAGAACTGCCGTCTTAGACATCACACCCCGGGATTCCCCTCACAAGCCATTGTATCACTGCTACAAAAGAAACAGCATGCCACACTCTACCTTCATGGAGTCTCTGTAGGCAATACTCATCTGGGAGTAACCTGGCCAGCCAAGGTGCCAGGAGTAGGGATGGGGATATGCCTCCGTTTCACTAGGATACAAGAGATGTCCAGGCATCCACTCATATGGGTCAGTTTGGGATGATACTACCACCATCTGAGTGTCCCTGTAATGGGGCCAGTACAATGCATGGGCACTGTATGGGGAAAGAAAGTCAGGGCAGGGAAAGGAGTCAGAGCAGAGTGGTGAAGGGAGGAAGCAGAAAGAGAGGGAGAAGACTTGGTGGGGAGAGCAGGGGGAGTCTGAGGTGAGGAGAAAAGAGGGGCAGATTGTGTGAGGCAGAGATAGCAAAGGCTGATGGAGGAACCCTGGATATCCCTTGGTATCTCAGACACATGAACACTCATTCCCAATGATTCCTGGTCAGAAGGTTCTGTTCTACACGCAGGATGGGCTCACACGTGGCTGAGCCATTCCCGTGGATGGGAAGAAGAAGGACTGAACAGGACACAAGCTGTGTAGTGTGGGGCCAGCACAGTCCCATGTCAATCTATTGAGGGGGACCAGTTATGAAATCAGCCCTTGGTATTTCCCGTCCCTGAGGGTATGTCTACACTAGAAACGTAAATCACCTGCTGTGAAATTGACAAGACAGCCAACAGTCAGAGTGTCTACACAGACACTGTCGCCCTAACTACACCGAGGTAAGCCATATGTACCCATGGAGGTGGAGTCATTGTTGGTGTAGTAGGGCACTTACATTGTCAGGAGCAAGGCTGTAGTGTGTACACACTGAGATTACACCTAACTGTGTAGTGTAGACCAGGCCTGAGAGAAGGTGAAGGTTACATGTCTGCAGTACCTGAGCAGCCGCATTCCAGCTGTAGCCCCAAGGTAGACAGGGGTCTCTCTGTGGTGCTGTTCTGGAACCACTTCCTGAGCTCTTTTCATGCAGTGCTGGAGGGAGAGGCCAGCTTTCTCTGTGTCATGGGAGTAACCCGAGATCCCCAGACCTGGGAAGAAGGGGAAGAATATGACATTCCATTTCATGCTCTCTTAACCGAGTCCTACAGACCACAGTGAACCCTGCATATTACTCCTAACCTCTATTGCAGAGACATCAATAGCAGCCCTCCTATTAAACCCAGCCTTAAAGCTTGTCTAATAGACTGCTAAGAATTCCTCCTCTATCAAGTAAGTGTTCACATCCTTATGCTGGGGGTGGGTGAAACTTCATGGAAGCTGGTGGCTGAAACAACTGCCCGTCACGCAGAACAAATGTAAAAAGCACCTGAGCTCCTTTATGGAACAGACACACCTGAAACAGCAGGAGCCACCACCCAAAACACAGGCCGCCTGCAAAGGCTGGTTAGGAATCTGAGCTATGTGGGCTGAAGGGTTTGACTGGGGACTGAATGTAAACACAGAGGGCTGGGTATTGTTGGAGGGAGTGGGGTGTGAGAGAGAGAGAGGCAGGAGAGAAGGCCCCAAGGAAGTCCCAGAGACAGCCAAAGAAGCACTTATAGTGTGACCCTGAGAAAAAGCTGAGTGAGAGAGAGCAGGAGCACACACTTTTGGGTAGAGCGTTGGTTGGAAAGAAGCTGGAAACTGTGAGCAACACACCTGGGCACATGGAAGAACAGTTGACAAGAAGGTGTGAGTAACAGTAGGGGGAAATTAGTATGGTAAAATTAGTTTTTGTAATGACCCATCCACTCCCAGTCTGTATTCAGGCCTAATTTAATGGTGTCTAGTTTGCAAATTAATTCCAGTTCTACAGTTTCACATTGGAGTCTGTTTTTGAAGTTTTGTTGTTGAAGAATTGCCACTTTTAAGTCTGTTATTGAGTGACCAAGGAGGTTGAAGTGTTCTCCTACTGGTTTTTGAATGTTATAATTCCTGATGTCAGATTTGTGTCCATTTATTCTTTTGCGTAGAGACTGTCCGGTTTGGCCAAGGTACATGGCAGAGGGGCATTATTGGCAAATGATGGCATATATCACATGGGTAGATGTGCAGGTGAACGAGCCCCCTGATAGTGTGGCTGATGTAGTTAGGTCCTATGATGGTGTCCCTTGAATAGATATGCGGACAGAGTTGGCACAGGGGTTTGTTGCAGGGTTTGGTTCCTGGGTTACTGTTTTTGTTGTGTGGTGTGTAGTTGCTGGTGAGTATTTGCTTCAGGTTGGGGGGCTGTCTGGAAGTGAGGACTGGCCTGTCCCCCAAGGTCTGTGAGAGTGAGGGATCATCCTTCAGGATAGGTTGTAGATCCTTGATGTGCTGGAGAGGTTTTAGTTGGGGGCCGTAGCGTTCCGTCACCTATAGCCCACCTTCTTGTCAACTGTTTGAAATGGGCCACCCTCATTACCACTACAAAAGTGATTTTTCCTCCCTTGGTATTCTACTGTTAATTGAATTGTCTCGTTAGACTGACCCCCCATTTGGTAAGGCAACTCCCATCTTTTCATATACTATGTATATATACCTGCTACTGTATTTTCCACTCCATGCATCTGATGAAGCGGGTGTGCTGTCCTCGGGAGACCCTTCAAAAGGCCTGCTTAGAGCCCGAGGAAGGTTTGGTCGGGCCCTGGCCCTGACCTGATGGGGGGGGTGACGGTCTGCGCCTGCCATTCCTACCCCTCCGTCTATAGAAGTCTTGTCTGGGTCGAGGAGGGTAGGAGCGCTGCTGTTGAGGCTGCGGTTTGAAGTGTTTACGCTGGGTAGCAGGGGTGTGCATACCCAGAGACTTCATGGTCACCCGGGAGTCCTTCAGGCCGTGCAGCCTGGAGTCTGTCTGCTCTGAGAAAAAACGGTTACTTACCTCTCGTAACTGTTGTTCTTCGAGATGTGTTGCTCATGTGTGTGCGCTGCGTTCATGATCATCGGAAGGTTTTTCCCCTAACAGTACCCGTCGGGTCGGCTGTGGAGACCCCTGGAGTGGCGCCTTCATGGTGGTGTATATAGGTCCCTGCTGACCCACCGTCTGCTCAGTTCCTTCTTGCCGGAACACTCCGACAGAGGGGAGTGGGTGGGATTTGGAATAGACATGAGCAACACATCTCAAAGAACAACTGTTACGAGAGGTAGGTAACCGTTTTTTCTTCTTCGAGTGCTTGCTCATGTGCATTCCAATAGGTGACTTCCAAGCAGTTTCCCTGGGGGAGGGGTCGGAGTTCACTTGGTTGCTGAATGCAGGACTGCCCTGCCAAAAGCTGCATTGCCCCTCGCCTGCTGGGTAATGGCGTAGTGTGACGTGAAGGTGTGGATAGAGGACCACGTTGCTGCCTTGCATATGTCCTGTATAGGGACCTGTGCCAGGAATGCTGTGGACCACACCTGTGCTCTTGTGGAGTGCGCCGTAAGCGGAGGGGCTGGAAGTTTTGCCAGGTCGTAGCAAGTCCTGATACAGGATGTGATCCACGATGAAGTGTGCTGGGATGAGATCGGGAGCCCCCTCATCCTTTCTGCGATTGCAATAAAGAGCTGTGATGACTTAGGAAATGTCTTTGTGCGCTCAGTTAGAATGCTAGGGCACGCCTGACAGCCAGGGAATGGAACATGCGTTCTCTGTTACTTGCATGAGGCTTAGGGAAGAACACAGGTAAAAATATGTCTTGGTTCACATGAAACTGTGAAGTATCAGAGGGGTAGCCGTGTTAGTCTGAATCTGTAAAAAGCAACAGAGGGTCCTGTGGCACCTTTAAGACTAACAGAAGTATTGGGAGCATAAGCTTTCGTGGGTAAGAACCTCACTTCTTCAGATGCAAGTAATGGAAATTTCCAGAGGCAGGTATAAATCAGTATGGAGAT